AAATCATTTTTATTTAAATGTTTCAAACTTTTTTATCTTAACTAGATTTTACCTGCATGAAAATGTTCGGAGGTCAGAATGACCATACAATAAGAGTGTGTAGTTGGCAATAGGTCCCACAGCCATTAATGTTGGCGCCGATTCTCTATGCAAAGTTGTCCTCTGTGCCTTTACCCCATTTCTTATGTCTGTCTTTTGCCACCTCCTACCTGATGCCATAGCAGGCATAAAAAGAATCAGATCTTGCACTCCATTGTTGAAATGAATTTATTAAATAAGGTGTGCAGTTAATACCCTACCCAAAATCTGCTGAAGGGAATAATGTCATATTGAAGTTCCCCCACCCACCTAAGGGAAACAATAGCTTGCCTGTCTGAAAATAACTAGCCTTTAAAAAAGAGATCTTTGCATAACGAGTAGTCAGGAACCACGCCACTACCTGACAGTTTATGAAAACTCGTTCTGCGAGTTTAGCAAGGAGGCTGACTCAGAGAACCCAGTTTGCACAAGTTCTTCCATGTGTGACAGACCAAAACCACCTAACTTTCTCCTGCTCCTCCAGTCTTAAGAGCCACAGAATAGGGGAAGTATCAAGCTTGACAGTTTTGGAGTTGGCTTCTTAGTGGAAATCGGAAAGAAGCCAATTTTGATATGCCTTTGGTACACACATCATCAGTATATTTTTTCATGTTAATTGACCTGGTAGAAACAGTAGCAAAACCCTCTTTAAAATGCTTTTCAAAGATCTAGTTCCTAAAGCTTCATGAGGAAGAATGTTTCTCATACTATAATAACTTGCTCAGTGATCTTTCCTACATCAATTATCTGTACTTTTAATTTTGTGTGTCATAAGCAAAATAATAATCATAATCATAATCATATTGGACAATAGAACATTTCTGTGTGTGTAATAAGAATACAGCCTGGTTTATTTACATTGTAACTTATAAAATAAGTCCTTCAAATAAGACTTTTTTCCTATTGCTTACATAAATGGTGATTTTTACTCATGGGGACAGTGTCTGCATGGATTATATAAGAAATTCTAAAACTCATTCTCCCCAATAGTTTTAACCAGGGATGTGCTGGTTAATGTTTAACAAATGGTTCTGTATGCAGGACACATTTTTAAGCTTAATTTGCATTATTAACATTTTGTCCAACACTTTATTAAGTCTAAACAATCAACAAAACAATAAATTAAGCCCCATTTGAAGCATTTATTTTCTAATTGTATTTATACAATACAACAAAAATTTAACAAATGGCATTCCTCAGGTAGGAGCTGGCTGGAGTTCACCCCTAGTTTTAACCTCCTCTTTGAACAAATCTCCTACTAGAACTACTAAGAAGTGAAATATTTTACTTCGAGTTTTATATCCTTTTTTCTCCCTCTGCTGTTTAATCAAAATTCAACCATAGGATCATAGATTTACAGTTGCAAGGATCCTTAGAGACCATAAAGTCCAACATTCATTTTTAGATGAGGTCCAACAAGGTTAAAGGTCTGGTTAAAGGCCACACAGATGAGTAGGTAGCAGATCTGGGATCTGACACAGCTCCTCTAACACCATATCCAGCCCCTGCTTCCATGATATCACACAGCCTCCTGGCACAAGAAAAGTTCAGGGCCTCTGCACATATGGGTGTGCCTCTTTTAGACTTCAGCAAAGTTAAAGTTTATGAGAGGCAAAGAAAGATGAAATGTTAGGGTGAGGCCTTTTCAGGTGTAAATTAAGCATTCTATGTTTTTTTTAAAGGAATTGAGATTCAAGGTGACTCAGATGAATATGAAAAGGCATTGAATTCCAATGGACCCTAAGGGAAAAATGGATTCATTCTCTAAAGCCATTCATTTTTCATAAGATTCCAACAGGAATCTGGGAAATCTAACTAGATGAGGTCCCTAGCTCTGGATCAGGCAGAAACCTCTGAAAGAAGTAATACCTTTCCCCTTCCCTGCCTGGGAAATGATAAAACTCAGATCAGAGGCCCTGAAGAAGCAGGACTGGAAAGACTTCTGCCAGTTCTAGGCTAAGTGTCTCTATTTTTTCTGAAAAGTCTTAGTGGCATACCAGCTGAAAAAACCCAGTCATACAGAGCTGAGCCTGCAGTGAAGCTAGTAGAGGCTGCGCCTGCCTATCAAAGAGTCCCTCAGATCCACTAATCTTGCCTTGGTACTGTTTGTTACCTGTGAGGATTCAGCCCAATAGAGAATCAGACTGTCCAATACAGATACTGAGCCCTGCAAGGGAACAGCCCAAGTGAACAACAGAGAGACTTGTCCATTCACATGGACACCTGTCCCACAGTGGAGTGCATGAGGATGCCCCAGGAAGGAAAGAACAATGAAGTCCTGCTCTATCAGCATCCCTATTTATGTACCTCACTATTACTATATTTTACATTCATGGCCACTCTTTCTCCTCCTACTCCAGCCTCTGGGGTCTATGTGTTTTGGTGGGAAAGGATATCCCAAGTCTGGATGAGGGGAGTGCATTCTTTGTAATTACAATTCTTGCTGCGTCACTTGAGGAAATATCTTCTAAGATCTGAGTCTACTGGCTGATAATGAATGGGAAACATATTGGCGGGGGCTTGGGAGCTACAGTATTAGGGGCAGCCATCCACAGGGCTGTCCCTATAACTTGAAGTAGCTGTTACACTTTGAATACCCAACTTAATAGCGTGAGTAGGAACTGGTACAGTGAGCAATCCCTGAGAATCTTAGTGTGAATTGTTCTAGTGTTAACCTAAAGTTATATAGTAAAATCTTTTAGCCTCATGTGACTTAAGATAAGCCAAGCAAGCCAAATCTTGCCATCAAATATTCACACATAATTTTCACTAATATCAACACACACCTCAGTTTTTGAGGGCAACATCTGACCTAGAAAATTTAGTAAACATTTCACTGAATTTTGAAGGGTATATACTTCCATGAGGAAATACAACTACTACCAAATAGGGCACAGCATTGTAAACACACCAAGATCACTGGTCCTGTTTTCAGCTCAGTCCCAAAGCCATGGCCCAAGGGAGGACAACAGTGTTTGTGGAAAAGGGCCTGCCATCCCTCTCCTCCCCCAGCACCAACTGTCACCAACAAGGCAGGAAATCAACCCAGCTGAAGAAGCAGGGCATTCTGAGGGAGAGATGGGGGATTGTATGTGTCAAGTGAGTCAGACCACTGTTAATCACCTTGACCACTACCTGCCCTTTGGCCTCAATGGCAGTAGGGTAGAACCACATACCCTAGAGCCCCCTAGAGCCCTGAGTATAGCAGCTACAGCCTAGACCAGTGGCCCTGCTTGTAGTACAACAGCTATAGTCATCATAAAGGTGAACAATCTTTGTGGAGCATTGTTCTACCATCCCTACCACCACTATCATCAACTTCTGAGCCCAAGAACCCAAGAATAGCAATGTTTCTCAGACAACCAGCCTAGCTTCCAGCCACAGATGTCATCAGCCACGAAGTCATCATTTAGAGAAGCAACCATTGTGGATATGAGACCTGGCAACTACCTCTCCAAGGGCTACAATCCCTACCTCCTCAGGAGCCATAGCTACAGGAAAGAAAGTTCTTACCAGCAAATCATTGGCTCCATTTGATGGTTCAGCCGACATGGTTTTATCAAAGGAAATAACACTAAAGAGGATGCATTACCATCTGATTTGCCACTGACCCATGAGATTTGAAGCTAAATACCCTTTTAAGAATGTGAGCTCCTTAAAAACAGAGATTTTCTTACTTTTCTGTTTCTATCCCTAGTTATTAGCACAGTACTTTGCACTTTCTTCCTTCCAAATGGGCTAATTACAAAATTGATGTCATTTTTATCCTACAAAAGGAAAAATCTAAATGCTACCGAAATGATGTAGGTTTCCCTGAAGATAGAATTTCAGGTCTAATATTGCTATTCCTTGAAAAATGCCACAAGATCTCTAATGACCTCAAGTGGTTGCAGCTAAAATTGCTTGATCTGTGATATGGGATAAAATTATAGCACATTACAAAATACCTGTAAGGGAAACAAATTACAACCAGGATTTATCATAAAACATATGTTTAAAAAATTCAATAATTTGGATATTTTTCTTGTTCTTTATTTTAGCAGCCTCTTTGAAGATGGACAAGCAGGTGTCTGTCTCTAATCAGTCACAATAAATTAACATCCAATGCATATGAGTGCCCAGAATTATGCAGGGGAATATTGGGAGGTAAAATATATGAACAGGGAAGAGAAGGAATTGATTTGAAATGTAAGTGAATTAAAGAGAAAGTAGATAGATTGTGAGAAGAGTGGGGCAGGGAAAGAGTACAGAATGGTGAGCAACAAAGAAAGAGAAGGGAAAGAGGTGGGAAGGGAGAGGCCAGGGAAGAAGAGTCAAGAAAAAGGTGGTGTTTTCAAATATTGGCAGCTACATGTCATGCTTTTAATAAGAGATGCTGATATTGGCATTATTTCATAGGCATTTCATGTGCTGTCTGTTTTGCCTTAATTACAATAAATACAACATTAGCCTGATAGTTCTAGGGAGCACAATTGTATAATGGGAGAAAATTACTGAGGCCTTTTTGCAAATTCCTGCTGCACTGAAGTAAGACAGCATAATACCATAAAAAGAGCACCTGGATTCAAATCCTTGCTCTGATAATCCCTGTGTCACTTTACAGAAGTCACTTTCCCTCAATGGGCTTCAGTTGCCTTATCTATAAAAGGAAGGAATTATATTAGGCCATATCTAAGGTCCCTTTCCAATTCTAAACTGTATATCTCTGCTGCCTGAGGGAGTTAATGTTCCTTTCAAAGTATCTTTCTCTCATCAGGTAGTTGTGCACTGAAAGATTCTGCATAAAGATAGTTTACAAAGTTGGTTACTTTGGGGTTTTTTATTTTTAAGAAAAGAGAAATAATTCTTGTTAAGTTCAAATAAACATCTTACTATATTTTACTTTCTTTAAAAGATAATAAGCATGTCCTATTAAAACTTACTTTAGTTGTGAGTGACTGCAATTTTGCAATATTGCAAGTAGAAACTCTTTACGTTGCTTGTCAGTCCACAGATCAAACCAATGAGTTATAAGACTAACTCTTTCCTGAAAGAGCTGTAAGAAAATAAAATGAAATATTTTTATACATTTCAACTTCTAAGCTAAGTATTCCTAGTGTAACATGGCATTAGCCAACGAGGCAGAATAAATAAATATTGCTAAATAGATATATGTAGGGCAACTGGATCTCTGCTTAAAGAAATTCATTGCTCTAAGGTCTATAACTTTGTGATGTAGTGGAAAAAACACTGGATTTGGAATCAGAGAACCTGAGTTTGAATTAGTATTCAAACTAATTTTACTATGTGTGGGAACTTGGATAAGTTAGATAATCTCTCCGGGTGTCAACATCTCAAGTGTAAAATGAAGGTGTTGGACTAAATGACCTCTGAGTTCCCTTGCAGCTTTAGATCTATGAATCTAGAAACTTAGAGGGGATTTTTTTTTAATTTGGCAAAATATGGATCCACACTTTACAGTAAAATTAAGCTTGAGTAACTCACCTGTTTATTTAATGATTTGTTGATAATTGGTGTCCAAGCACTGAACCTCCTTTGAAAGCACTCAATCGCCTGGCTCTCGTTGAAAAAGTCTCTTGTTGACATTTCTGCAAAGATTTCTCTATTCCTGGTTCCAGAAGCAAAAAGTTTCTTTCTTTCTTTCTTTCTTTGATAAAGAATTCCTAGAAGTATACAACAGATCAAAGGATTCTGTCGAACCATTTCAATAATCGTTACAATATTGCAACATCGTAGTGCTGATGTGTTGGGGGTGGGGAGAGTCTGGACTCGACCTATAGCTTCAGCATGGGGATTTCCTGGCGTAAGAACTCCTTCTACTCCTCTCCTCAGCATTTCTCGTGTGTTGTCTTCCTTTCACTCACACAGCTGCCACCCTTGTTCAGACCCTTAAAATCCCTTACCAGTACTGCCCAAAATAACCTTCCATTTGGTTCTCTGCCTCAAGCCTCTCCCCACTCCAATCCATCCTCCACAGCTACCAAAGAGATACTGCTAAAGCACAAGTCTTCGTGTCATGCTCCCTCCTCGATAAACTCTAGTGGCTCCCTATTGCTTCTAAGATCAAATATAAGCTCCTCTGTTTGACATTTAAATCTCTTGATAATATGACCCTTTTCTAGCTTTCCAGTCTTTTGACTTACCTCTTTTCACTCTGACATCTAGTCATACTGGCTTTTCTGCTGTTCTGCATACATGATACTACATCTCCCATCTCCAGGCTTTTGTACTGGCTCTCCTCCAGGCCTGAAATGTACTCCATTTACTCCTGCCTCTTGGAATAGTGAGTTTCCTTACTCTTTCCCAAAACTACCTTGTATGTTCATGTTGTTTCCCTGAATAGAATTTAAGCTTCTTGAAGCTTTTGTCTTACAGTAAGCACTTAATACATACTTGTTGGTTGATTGATTAAGGTAGCTCAGCAATTTCTCTGAAACTTGAGTCCTGGAAAGTTGCCTAGGGAACTAAGATGTTTAAGTAATCTGCCCAGAGTCAGGACTTGAACCCATGTCTTTCTAATTCCCTAGACCCTCTACTATGCTGCACTGCTTTTCAGAGCTGTTGTTCCTCCTTTGTTTTTGAAGAGGACCAATTACATTGTGGGGTGATATTTTGACTTGCTCATGAACTGAATTTAAGTCATCAGCCTTACTCTTTTTTCTAGAGTCACTGACATATGACTGGTGATCCTCCTGCCCTCTGCTGCTTCACTCCCCAACACCCCAAAAGAGAGAGCAAATATCCAAGGAGACAGCAGAAAATCCCTAAAAGCATAAAACAAGAAAGACAAAGTTATGTTCCCCAGGTGAGATTATCTTCATTTCTCAAAGGTATTGCCTTGGCCCAGTCCATGTTCTCTTCCTCTGGAAACTACTTGGGACTTCAGAATGGATGCTTTCTGTTACCAGGCCTCAGAGCTCTGGCTTTTTTCTTCATGGTCTTTAACTTAAGGGCATTCTTCAGCATGTCCAGCAAAATCAGGGTATGTATTTTGTTTCTTTCTTTTTTAGGCAATTGGGGTTAAGTGACTTGCCCAGGGTCACACAGCTAGTAAGTGTCAAGTATTTGGTTTGAGGCTGAATTTGAACTCAGGTCCTCCTGACTTCAGGGCTGGTGCTCTATCCACTGAGCCACCTAGCTGCCCCTAGGGTATGTATTTTGCAACCTTGGATGTAAACCTGCTATAGTTGGGGGGGGGGTAGCATCTTCAATCATCCTGAGCTATATCTTTCCACTGGACCCAGATGGCTTTGGAGGAGAAAATGAGGCTGGTGGCTTTGAACATCCCTCCCTCATTTAAATTCAGTTCACTTGCAAGTCATGACATCACCTTCCTGATGTAATGGATCTCTGAGAACAAAGGACAAACAAAAACTTGTGAAGAGTACTAGCTCCCCCCAGAACTGCCAGTTTCAGTTGGCCATTGCAGCTCCTTCCTTCCTTTTTTCCTCCTACCCTCCCTTCCTTCCTTCCTTTCTTTCTTCCCTCTTTTTCCCTCCTTTCCTCCCTTCCTTCCTCCCCTCCTTTTCCTCCTCTCCCTCTGTTCACATAGGAAATCATACCCTTACCTGTGGGTATTCTGTCCAAATATGAATTTTGATTGCTGAAACCTAGCATGATATCTTGGGGTTTGGGGATTAGATTTCTTTTTTATGGTCCATGCCTTAAACCCAAATCACTTTGACTTTCATTGATTGGCTAACAATGGGTCCCAGCCCAAGCCTCACTTTGTCATTGATTGGCTTCTGACAGCGCAGAGTGAGCACAAATAACAATTGTTTCTGTTTTGGCCAGGAACTCGAGGGTCTTCCCCTCCCAAATTGATTTCATTTTTTTTGACTAGGTAAAAGAGGCCATTCTTTGCCTCATTTTTACCTAGCCTTAATCACCGAATGGGCTTTGCTTCAGACAAACTGAGATCTGAGAAAGAACTTAGCTCAAAAAGGCCAAGATCTCCCACTACAATCTGGGTCCATCTCCGGACATCCTGATCTATATCTTGCCACTGGACCCAGATGTTTTGGGAGGAGAGAATGAGGCTGATGACTTTGTACAGCCCTTCCTCACTTAAATCCAGTTCACTTGCAAATCATGACATCTCCTTCCTGATGTCATGGTCCTCTTCGAGAATGAAGGACAAACAACAATATAACTGGGCCATTCATTCATTTCTGAACATGCTCATAAAGCTAACCATATGGCAGTTCATGTTGTCCTCAGCCTTGATCACTCACCCTGAATGTCTACCCTAGAGTTGGTCTCAGGTAATGATGTACCTGTCTGCCTTATGTAGGCCCTTGATTAGAATATCCACCAATAACCTAGAAAGAAAAAGCTGCAGTTCGGACTCCCCGGATCCCCATGCTGAACAATCAGCAACAACCAAAAAGCAGACCTCCAATGCTCTTTCCTCTCCAACATACAGGACTCTTCAGCAACAGGAAGACACAATTGCAACACAAGACATAACAATACTCTCTCTTATCCCCAGAGGCAGCACGATTCTTTTATCCGAAATTCACTTAGCCTCTCAGTGCTTCTAGTCAACTGTCTAAGATTATAAGTTGCAGAATTTTTGTCATTAGCATTGGCAGAGGCAATTTCCTCACCAGGAGTTCCCTGTCCTAATGAAATCATAATTCTGGTACCCATACACATATACAAATTATAAATACACATATACAAATTATAAATTAATTCTACGTAACACATATACACAACAGTATAAACTAGAACTATAGGAAACAAGGATGGAAATATAGGATGGTAACTATAGATAGTATATATGTCCATCTACAACTAAACTATGCTAACTATGTAACATGAATGTACTGCATGCACATATAAAAACTGTAAGATGCTATTGGTAACATGTATGCCCATCTACAAACCATCAGGTGCTAACTCTACATAACATGTATATACATATATAAACAACAAGATATTAACTCTGTGTAACATATATGAACTGGCCCCATGCTATCAGGGCCAGATTGAGTACATCTCTTCTACGTGATTTTTCTTTCATCCGCCATTGACTGCCATCTCAGCTATGTTCCCTCTTTTTAAGGGCCTCTGATTAGCACTCTGTTTTATTTAGTCACTTAACATTGCATAGTGTTTAACAAACAGGCATTTACTTCACAGATACATTAAGAGCAAATGTCCTAACATTTCTCCCCAATACTTTGAAGGAATACTCTCCCCCACATCACCTGATCTCTGGGGTAATAGGCTCAGAACTTAGCTAAATTCATAGTATTGGTTCCACCAGAGGTGACATCACTGATGGATGATTCCTTCCTACGGGCTGGACTCCCAGTGTTACTCCTCATAGCTCATTTGGCATTAATGCTAGGCTGGCTTTGACACTTGGTCAAGGATAGCAGCCTATTTCTCAGAGGCCCATTATGGCCTGAGCCTTAGGAGGTAGGTGGTATAGTAAATAGAGTGCTAGACCAGGAGTTGGGAAGACTTGAGTTTTAATCCGGCCTCAGATACTTCCTAGCTGTGTGACCCTGGGCAACCTCAGTCTGCCTCAGTTTAATCAAATGTAAAATGAGGATAATAATAACACCTACCTCCCAGTGTTGTTAGGCTCAAATGAGATATGTTTGTAAAGTGCTTAGCATGGTGACTGACATATAGTAAGTATTTAATAAATACTTATTTCTTTCCTTCCTTTTTTCTTTCCTCCCTCCTTCCCTTCCTTCTAGCTTTTCCCTTATGGCACAGTCAGATATGAGTGCAGCCAAAAATGCAGTCAGGAGATTGCCAAAGCTGACTCCGCCCTTAATGAAGACCTAGAGAAAGCTCTCCAGCACATTGGGCCTCCTAGATCACATTTATGGAGGGAATGGACAAAAATGAAACAGGATGAAGTATAGATGAGTTGTGATCTCCACCTTTGTAGGGGAAACCCACTTTGATGAGATCCTAGCTTCACTGAAGCATATTTTGGGGATACTCTTATTACAATGGAGGCAGGGATTGTATTAATTTTATCTATATCCTCAGAGCTTAGCAATCAACCAGTACACGTTTATAAGCACTTACTATATGCCAGGCACTGTGCTAAGTTCTGGGGTACAAAAAGAGAGAAAAGACAGTCCCTGACCTCAAGGAGCTTCCAATCTAATGGGGGAGACAGTGTGTACACAAATATATACAAAGCAGGCTATATACAGGATAAAAAGGAAATAATTAACTGAAGGAAGGCACTAGAATTAAGAGGAATTGGGAAAGGGATTTTAGATAGGACTTAAAGAAAGCCAGAGAGGTCTGTAGTCAAAGTGGAGAAAGCAGAGCATTCCAGGTGTGGGTGACAGCCAGAGGGAATGCCTAGAACAGAGAGACATAGTTTCTTCTTTGTGAATCAGCCAGGAGGTCAGTGTCACTAGAGGTTCTTGATAAATGTCTTTGAATTGATCTGACTTACTTAATATAATCATTTAAAATAGAAAAAAATATTTTTTCTTAGACAATTTGTAAGCCTCATAAATAAAATGTGCAATTCAAAAGTGGCACCGCTATGCTTGCATATATCCATTTTAAAAATCAGGTGCTTATAAGAAAGTGGCTCAGAAATTCATAAAAGATAAAAACCTCCCTTTTGGCAGCTCCTTCAATAAGGATTTTAAAACTCTGACAACTTGCTAAATGTTGCATGTGCCAAATCTTGCTGCTAACAATAACTTTCATCAATTAATATTTGTGAGACACATGTGTAAGGCACTAATACAATAAAGTGTCGATCTCAAGAGCAATTTGAATTTATACTTACTATCACCGCAGCTTAAACATTGAGTCTAGGTATTTAAACCCTAGAAAGAGACACTCTGGATCTGACACGTGAGAGAAAAGAGAAGAGAATAGTTTGGTGAATTCTCTCACTTGTCCTGGAGTAGAAGTAGGTTTTGTGTGTGAGGGTGAGAAAAGATCATGCCTATGATGTGGTAGTCAGCTATTCATTATCCCCAAGTAATCCCCACCATCTGATTTCTCTGTTTATGCTCCAGGGTTGCTGAACACAGACAGAAAAACGAAACAGTTGACTTCACTCACTGTGAACTCACCTTGCTGCTGCTCAATGATCATGCTCCTCTACCCCCTGACTTCCTATCTCATTCCCCACAGTACTTCCCTCCTTTGCACCTACCACACCCCTTCTTTGTGCCCCACACTTAGAACAGGTGGTGTAACTTACTTTGCTAAAAAGAAAAAATTGAGAGCACCTCACATGCAGTCCCTCAGTCCCATCCTCCATTTCTTAAACTTAGCAGCAGCATCACTCGCTCTCTTTCTCTCTAGTCAGTCAATCAGTCAGTCAGTCAGTCAGTCAGTCAGTAAACATAACAAAAACCAAAAAGAGCAATCCCTTAAATCAAGGAGTTCACAGTCTAATAGGGGAGACAATATGCAAACAACTACGTACAAGCAAGCCATATAGAGGGTCTATGTTATTGAGTCCTTTTCTCCAGTCGTCTCCTCCAAAGCTATTTTCCTCCATTCCTCTCTCTGTTTTCTTTCATGCATATTGTATTGGTATCCCCAGCTCACAGTGCACTGTGTAACAAGCAGTAGACACCTGATAAATGCTTGCTGATTGAATCTCTCTCTCCCTCACCACTGGCTCATTCTTTTCTTTTTACAAACAAGCTCAAGGGTTTCCATTCATAAATAAAAGCTTTCTCTTTATTCTTCTCTTGTCAGCTACTCTCCCATTTCTCTAACTCCCCTTTACTGCTAAACTTCTTGAAAAAGTTCTCTATTCCAAATACTTCCACTTTCTCACTACTCACTGTCATCTCATTGCCAGTGACTTTCTAATCATTAACCCCAAATGGACTTTCTGAAAAGTTCTCATTTTCCTTGATTTCTCATTAGCTTTTGACAGAATTGTCACTTACTAAATATTATTTACTTAAAGTAAATATTTACTTACTAAATCTTATCTTCTTCTAAGTTTCAGAGCCTCCACACTCTCCCAATTCTTATCTTTCCTCTCTAACCACTCTTTCTCCTTCCCTAGCTATCCCCTTCTCAACCACTTAATACAGGTCATTGTCAAGGCCCATTCTTGGCTCTCTTCTCCCTCTTGACACTATTCCTTGACTATTTCGTCTACTCCCATGACTTCCACTATCACCTCTATGCAGATGACTCTCACATCTTTATTTCCAATCCTGGATTCTCTTTCAGGTTTCAGATCTTATCTCTACGGGCTTTCCAAATATCTCCATCTCTAAGTTCCATTGCCACCTCAAATTCAAAATGTCTAAAATATGCTCCCCTTGACTTTACTATTTCAGTGTGTGGTGTCACCATTCACCCAATCTCCCCAATTTGGGATTATCTTGAATTCTTCCTCTCTTTCCATTCTGCCATCCAACCAGTTACCAAGTCTTGCTGATTCTAGTAGTCAGCTGCCACCCATTCCCTCTCCTCTATTCTCACTAGAATCACACTAAAACAGGTCCTGGTTATCACCCACCTGGATTCTAACTTCCATTCTCCCCACTCTTCAATCCCCCTTCACACCACTGCCTAAGTAACTTTTTTTTTTTTAAACAAAGCTCTGGTGATATCATTGCCCTGAACAGAAAGCTTTAGTGGCTCTACTGAAAATACAGCCAGACTTGGAGTCAGAAACACCTCGGTTCAAATCTCAACTTTTGCATTAGCCATATTACCATGGATAAATTACTTAACTTCTTTGTGTTCCAGTTTATTCATCTGAAAAATGCTGATAATATTGTATCTATGTCATATCATTTTTTTTCTGATGATCAAATAAGGTTAAGTTCCATTAAGAGCTGTGCAAACTTTAAAATACTTTTATGATTGTTTTAAAAAATCAGAGGAGGGTTTAAGCATTTTACTAGATAAATGCCAGTTTTTAATATTTTTTAAAGACTCCATGCTGAAAAAGGTGACTCTAGTTACATCTACTTTTCAGAAAAGCTGGAACTCATGAGACTTCGGCATTCTAACTGTAAGGATGTTGTCATATTCACTCGACCAGCTATAATAGCATTGGACACTCCTGTCACCCATGTACCCCTTTTTAAAATCACAGGAAGTAACGGGATGAAAATCAGGCGAGTAGAGGAAAGATGATGCAGTTAGTACAAGCCAGGAGCCCTATAAAAAATCAATGAAGAGATTTCTTCCCCCTCTCCATCCACTGTGAGCTGGGGCTGATAAGCAAACTGCAGTACCATGTGTGGAAAAAGCATTGGATTTGGCTTCAGAAGTCTTGGGCTTTGAATCCTAGTTCTGCTAGTTAATGTTTTCACTTCTTAAAGCCTTTTTCCTCCTCTGTAAAATAAGGATTATAACACACTATTACTTACATCTCAGAGTTGTTGTGAGGAAAGCACTTTGTTAAATCTTAAAGCCTACATCTTTTGTCTATTTTTTTTTAACTTTAGATACTGGATTTATAATTTCTTTTCAATTAACAAGCACTTATTTTCTCTCCCACTTTAGAAAAAAACAACAACCCTGTAACAAATATATGAGTGTGTGTATGTTACGTCAAGCAAAACAAATTTCCAAACTCTCCATCAGACAATGGATTTGGAGGCAGATGACCTAGGTTCAAATTCCTCCTCTGTCACTTACTCCCTGGGTAACATCGGGTAAGTCACTCAGTCTCTAAGGACCTCAGTTCCCTCATCTGTAAAAAGGAAAGACTGGCCTAGAATCACAGCTTTAGAACTAGAAAGGCTCTCAGAGGTCATCTAGTCCAGAAGGCCAGCAAGGTAAAGGGATTTGCTCAAGGTCACCCAGGTTGTAGCTATAGCAGTATTTGACCCCAGACCCTTTTATTCCAAATCCTGTGCTCTTTCCCCTGTGCCACACCGACTAGATGACCTCTCTGTCCCCATCTACCTCTAAATCTATGATCCTAGGAAAGCATCAAGTCACTGAGGGGAATCTGTTGCCCAGTCTGAGTCCTTCAATCTCCTCTCTCTACCTAGGTGCCAAAGCACTTTCTCCTGGTCTGGGGCGGGGGTGGGGGTGGGGTGGGGAAGAGAAGAGGGGAGGCGGGGAACTATGCTATGTAAGAGTACCCAAATAAGAGATGTATCACCCATGTCCCATATATATATTTTACCTCTGGAGAGACAGGAAAGGAAGCGCGAAAAGTGAAGGGAGTTTCTGGAGGAAGCTGCCTTCGCCGCTTTCTTCCGCAGCTTCTGGTTCGCAACTCATTGGAAAAAGGGGATAGGAACACAACCCTATCTCCATAGGGACACTACAACAAGCAAGCTCCAATCTGCCAGTCAGAGTGCTCAGTGCGGACATACTACGCAGCCTGCACCGCGGAAGAAAAGAAGTCCATAGAGCAAAGGGCCGAGGGGAAAAGAGCCCGACCAGTCTGCCTGTGCCGGGACGCGAGACCCTGTCGTCCGTGTGTGCCCAGACAGCGCTGAGAGCCAGTGAATGGTTCTCCGCTGCCCTGTAGCTGTATGGGGACCTCAGCTGTTCCTGAGAGCTCCCGCCCATCCCGCCACCTTTTTATCCTCGGACAGCGTGAAGGCTGTCCTCCTCTGCCTTCGCTTAAGCGCAGGCCCAGAGATGTGGGGGCCCTTACATTTATGTTGCCCCTTCCAAGTCCTCTAATGCTGTCAAGTTTCTGTGCAGGATGGCTGGCGAACCAAATAAAGCAAACGACAGTGGGCGAGATGGCCATTGTTTGGTCCCTATAATCTTGGTAGAATTAGGTTTGAAGGCTCCTTAGAGTTTCATTCTTAACTAAGGATGTTAATTGATGTAAATTGATTTGTTCAAGTTTACTTGGGCAGAGCTAGAATTGGAACCCAGATCCCTCTACACCTGAGTGCTTCTCAGATAACTATGGTTAAATCAAAATCCTTGCCATCATCTCGCTTTGCTTAGATTTGGTATCATTGATAAGAGTTTTATTTATTATTATTAAGGATTTTATTGTTTGGATGCAGTTAAGTTTAGCATGTTGAATTTCAGTATTTAATCAAGAGGTCAAAACTATAGGGCTTTGGAACATTAATAGCCTCTTGATGGTAGTGTTTAAAAGTTGCTTTTTTTTGAGGCAATTAGGGTTAAGTGACTTGCCCCCAATCATACAGCTTCTAACAATCTGAGTCCAGATTTGAATTCAGGTCCAGGGTGGGTGCTCTATCCACTGTGGCACCTAGCTACCCCAAAAGTGACTCTTAGGACCAATTCTGCTACTTAGAATGGTTACTGAAACAATCCACACCAAAAACTTTCCCAATACAAGTCACAATCACCTTATTTTTATTTACTGTGAAGCTCTTTATTTGAAAACAACCAGATTTTTCTGTTGCTCTTACAATAAAAGCAACAGCCCTAACTAGTTGTGTAACATAAATTGCTATTCTTTGGGCCTTACTTTCCTTATCTGTAAAATGAAAGGAATGGACTAGATGGATTGTTAGAGGCCCTTTATGGTTTAAATTTCTATATATGTAGAAAATGTAAACAAAGGATACGTTAGATAAACCCAAACTGAGGTACCTGGGACCCATATCTTTTGCAAAAGACAAAGCAAAAGTGAATGAAAAGGTCAGTCTCCTGAATCTGCCACCAATCACAGGAAACAGATTTTGTTTGACTTACACTCAGGAATTTTCCAAGAAAAACATTTAACATGTTTTTGGTAAATTTTGCTTTTTGTCTTTGTCACACACTGTGGTATTATATAATAGTCTACTCTCTCTCTACCCAGTTGACACTGCTAACATGAGTATTCCTTTTTTCTCAAATATTTTTAAAATTAATGGTGTAAAAATTGAGTAATTTAAAAATAAATTACTAGAAGTTCCATTTTTTGGGTACAATTTTTCAATGTATATTTGTTACCTAACACTATTTAGTTTCTAAGGACTCAACATTTAAATGTGGCAAAAGGCTGAACACAATGCTTTCTTTCAGGGGAGTAAACAGTACAGTTTGTGCAAAAGTTAATTTTAGAATTTTATAAACATATTTTACCAAAATTCAGCCTTGCATTGGTAAATCACACCATATATTTCTAAATAGGCAAGATCTGCTAGATTCAAAGAAGAAAGCATATTCAGAGGATAATTTAAAAGTTACTTTATTAAAAATAGCAAATTCACAAATACTTAACATTTTGTTGCCATTGGCCACTGAAATACACACTGAGTAGGCGTGCCGATTGTCTACTTGTAAACTGAAGCTAAGCTGTCACAAGCCAACGTATGAGTAAAAATTGGAACAAGGCTGATGAGCTTGGGAAGGATAAGTCCTTCAGTCCTGTGAACAATACTTAGCATGAAATAAATGCACTTTCAAGTCTTACCCTCAGCTTTTAGATGATAAGGCAGTAATATAAAGCATAGCAGCACAATCTTGCAGTCACATTTCCTGATTTGAGACTTCAACATAGCCTGGCCACCAGCTATGGTGAATTACAGCAGTCAGATTTACTAAAAGCAATGTGTGAAAACAATCAGTTGCATATGCACTTTAATTCTTTGTTGTAGAGAAGATGAATCAGCTTCTGAATTCAGCTAGATTCAGATTACTGGTTTTCTCTGAATCACAAGACAATGAGTGAACTGTGTTTTATTTTAGCTGGTAGAGGTATTTGGAACGTCTTGAGCATCTGCCAAGTGAAGTTTTTGTCTGAAGTGACCAGTTAAGAAGCTTTTTGTTTTTAAAATACATTTTTAAACATCAAAAAAATCTTATTCAGAGGGAATAGGAAAATAAAATACATTTTTGGGCTGTAGAGGAGGGGTGAGCATTTGCTGAAAAAACATTCTCTAAGTTTTGGTGGTAGGAAAAGCTCTTAATGGACACTAGCTCGGTATTCAAAATTGTATTTGTGTTTAATTGTAATAGCATGTCTTAGGGCACTCAAAATTGAATTGTCTTGATATTGTATACTAGGTTTCAATAGAGTACCTGACAAGCAGTCATCTAGCTACTCTTCTTCAAGACCTCCAAAGAGAAACAACTGCCTTCCAAGGAAACCCACTTTATATTGGACAGCTTTGTTAGGAAAATTTTCTGGATATCAAGCTTTTCCTGACATATCATTTGTTACTCCTACCCGCTGCTTGCCCTGTTTTGGCTCTGTTTCAAACACAGCTGAAACACAGTAAGTTTAATCTGTCGTTCACATGGCAGCCCTTCAAATATTTGAAGATATCTATCACATCCTCCATAAGTCTTATATTCTTCAGGCTAAATATCTCCAGTTCCTTCAATAGTTCTTTATGTCATAGACTCAAAGTCCTTTATCATCCTGGTTGCCCTCCTCTGGATTCTCTTCAGCTCATCAATACTCAGACAGATCTGTGATTTCTCTGATTTAGAAGTTCCCTCCGATTATGCACATACTTATCCATGCATGCCTGCTTACTCTATGTGATTCTTGTCCACATCCTTCCATAAGTTCACCACAGAGGGTTCACTTAATATATAGTTTTTCTTCCATTTCTCCTGACATTATGAAGTGATGGATCACTGGAACTGTCCACCAACTGTCATTCCTCCCCCTCACCATCTGATTGTACATTTCTTAAATGACAAGCTTTACTTCTATTCTTTGAAGCTCCTCATTGATCACACCACTGTGTGCTTCTCTGTGGCCCACTATGGAATATTAATTTTTAATTCTTCAGAGACCATTGCATTCCATGTCTCACTGCCATATAGCAATGCTGGTAGAAAGAAAGGGTTAAAAAGATGGGCTTTTGTTAGTGAGAATAATGGGGTCATTACAGGAGCTCTGAAATGTCTCAAAGGCAATCTAATCTAACATATTCTCTTCTTCCCATTCAACTCTGAGCCCAACTTACTGTCCATGCTACATGCTGATGGACAAACTCTATAGGTTGTTCATCCAAATGCATATCATAATTTGAGCAATAAGACATTCTTCAGCCATTTGGTCTTTGTGGATAGAAGGTCAGGTTAAACTCCAGTTGTTATGGATCTCTTCCAGGAGGCTCTACAATGTTCCAGGCTTGATGCAAACCATCCACCATCTGAAAACAGGAACATCTATAGGATTTTACAATCTATAGAGACCCTCTTCAACTTGGATCTTGAGCTGAATCTCCTCCATCATACTGACAAACCTTTATTTATATTTTCCTATTTTATCCCTCCCCTGATAGTTATGAACAAAGGATCACTAAAGAGGGTTTCTTCTGTTGTTATAGCTTATTTTGTTGAAAAAGAGACTTTCTGGTATGATTTAATTTTTTTTCTTTTTTTAATATATTCTTATTTCATTAAATATTTCTCAGTTTTATATAAATTTTTTTTAACTTTCACATGTAAACATTTTAAAATTCTTTAAAATTCTCTCCTTTCCTCACCCCTTGAGAAGTCAAGGAATATAATAATGGTATCATTTTTCCTTATCATCAAATACTTTTTCCTATTAGCTACCTCTTTCAATTACAAAATGACAAAGATGTGGCCCATTGTTGGCTATCAGTTGTGAAAGCTTGCTTGTTCCCTACTAATACTCTCACCATCAAAGATATCCTCGATTAGTACAGAGATGACTTTAAAGCTGTTATTTTTTTTTTTTACAGATAGCAGAGTAGCCATATAGATGGGTAATTGTTGATATTTTATTAGGTCACCTTTCTGAATATTAATAAAGTCCAAGATTTTTCCTATGCCTTTGGTATCTTTTCCTCCTTCGATACCTTACATATTGATCCCTCAACACCCTTGCAATTGTGTGGTCTTCAGGACAGATCTCCTCTTCATATACCTCGTCTAATTTGGCTTCTTTTTCCATCTTTGTTCTCTTTAGTGCCATTTCTACTTCCCTTTAAGCACAACTGGGACTCTGACATCACAGTTCAAGTGTGATGGTTCCACTGTTCTTGGGAGTGAAGATAGATTTTTACTGTAACCTTTGAAGCTCTTTTCCATTTTTCTTCTGTTTGTAGTCCTGTTTTCATCCTTTAACACCCTTGTACACTTGGTTGTATGTCTTACTAAGCTTATTTAAAGTGATTTACTCTACTCTAATTCTCTCTGCTTTATGAGACCATATTGCCCATAATTTTCCATCAACTTTCTCCATAAGATTTTTTTAAATGAATCTATATGCTGTTCCAGTGTTGCCTTTGGCTGCTCTCTCTTCACTTGGCAAGTGAGTTAAATGTTTGCTGACCAAGGTATTTTGTGTGTTCTTTTGATCTTCTTGTGGCAATAGATTCAGATTCGTTAAACTTCTATATAGAATTATTAGAATCACTGTTAATGTTATTGCTGCTGTCCACTTACCATCTTTTCTTTGTCAATTACTTGACTAAGTAATTTAGGATTGAGTCATTTTAATTGTAGTCCATACTACATTTTTCTCATTCTTCTTTTTATTGCTTCTGACCTTTGTTCAGACGAGTTGATGGTACAACTATACACAGAGAGCTAACTCAGGGATAAATCCCATAACAATTAACTAGTCTCTTCCCGTCCACTAAAATATAACCTGTTACATTTTTTGTGATATTGTTTGTGCTGGCCATGTTCAGCACCTACCAATTCTTTTCTCCAAGAAATGGTTCCTAATATTAAAAGCATGAGGTTTTGCTTCTGCAGAGTCTACAAGTCTTTGGCCTCTCTTTCACATACTTTCCCGTATATTTCTTGCCACACTCACCATTTTCCCCTCACCTTTGTACCAGAGTA